TTTGTTATAGTTACTAAATAATAAATCGCTTTCACAGAGTGGTGACGTTGGTGTGCGTTCGTGCATGCGTGCGTGCCATGCGCCCTTTATACACGAAGGTAAACATTTATAGTGACGGTCCCTCCTTGCTCCGCGTGTATTACAAGCGGAGAATTTCCACAACAAATCCAATTAGAGGAGAAGAAAGGAGGATTCTCACTACAAAATGATCATTCAGTACTTAACCAAACTAGGAAATAAGAATGTCGTTCTCGCCAGTGCCTCACCTCGAAGAAAGGAAATTCTGCAAAATATCGTAAGCGTAAAAATGTCGCCAAATTCCTGAAAAAAGAGTGAAATGGATTTTTTGGTTAGTAAATGGTAAAAGTTTAGAGGACACCGACAGCGCCTAGTAGAACAGGCCCCATTCATATAATTATATTAGTTGTGTTCTCTCCCAACTCCACATGATTTTGTTAACTGAATGGAGGATTTTTAATCTGAAATCTAATGCAATAAAGGCACAGTCTTGATTGATTACCGTGACTTTCGTCAAAGGTCAACGAGACCTGTGTACACATACACTGGCCTTCTTTTAAACGCAAAAATATATATGTAAAGTGTTATCTTCAAAAGGGTCTCTTGTTTTTGATAAATGTCCACAGAGCTTTCCAGGTCTAATATATGTGATGGAGATTTCTTGATGAGGCCTATTGCAGATGTGTGGCTGTCTTATTATTATTTACAGTTTAGTTATTGGTTTGATTTAACACCTTCCTTTATTATTATATTATTTTATGCCTCAGATTTCTACTGTTTTTCTATGCTTACCCATATGACAAAGATTGAACAGATAAATTATATTAGAATAAACATATGTTTTTTGTATTCCAGGGGTTGAAAATAACCATTGAACCTTCGAGCTTCATAGAAAACTTGGACCCCAATAGTTTCGCTCATCCCAAGGACTTTGTGATAGCTACAGCCCGGGGAAAAGCACAGGAGGTTGGTTAAGATACTTATTTTATTGATTTAAAAGTTTTTGGTAATCATATGTCATAACAATTATTTATGCTGTTGTCTTTTGAATATTTGTCTGTTTTGTATTGTAGATACCTAATTTGATTTTGAATGTTTGTGTTATTAAAGTCCAATTTTTATGTGATTAAAACAGAATTTGTTATAAATACTTAAAAAGGTCAGTATTAATTTAAAGTATATAAAACAACTGACACCCCATACCCCTATAGCTGCTCCTACTTCACTGTACCTTCTTCCATGTGTCTGGATGATTCTTTCTCCCACCCAATCCTCCCTCTATTTTTTCCTCCCCAACAAGTTTATCTTCTACACCCCTTCCCACCTAGTCCTCCATCCACACCCCACTCACACCTAGTACTCCCTTACCCTCCCCCCTTATCTTTCCTCTATATCCCCCTCCCACCTAGTCCTCCTTCTACATTCCTCTCCCCTTGATCCTCCCTCCGTCTACACTCCCCTATAACCCACTCCCTCCTAGTCCTCCCTTATATCCCCTCCCCCAGTCCTCCCTCTATCCCCCTCCCCCTCCTCCCTCTACATCCCCCTCCCCCAGTCCTCCCTCTATGCCCTCTCTAAGCCACCATAGAGAGTCCACTTTGCCCACTGCCTCATCTTCTATGAGTGCTGTCTCTCCCTTCCAACAGATCCCTCCCAGTATAGTTGTGTTATGTGTGGCATCATTTTGTTTTTAACTTGCTATATTTTGCAAAGTTAATTATCATTCTTAGTACTCTTATTCTTATTATTCAATTTACATTATCCCTTGGTGTACTGTTTTCTAGTCATTGTAATAATTCCCTCGTATTGCAGGTAGCCAAAAGGTTAAGCACGGCTCAGTCTCCTCCAGACTTCGTCATAGGGGCTGACACTTGCGTCACTTTGGATGGCACTGTTTATGGGAAGCCCAAAGACAGAGATCATGCCTTCAGTATGTTGAACAAGTAAGGGAAGATTTCTTTTTTGTTATTGTGAGCGTTTTTTTAAAATAATTTAACGCTTATTGTTTTTGTTTTTATTGTTTATATATGTGGTTTTATATTTTGAAGAATGATATATTTTGTTTGTTTGTTTTCATTTATATATCAGTACATATCTATCTGTGTCTTTATCAGTCCATCTATCTGTCTATATGTTATATATCAGTACATATCTATCTGTGTCTTTATTAGTCCATCTATCTGTCTATATGTTATTTATGTCTTTCTTCATTACTTTCATTTTCAGACCTTAGTGTATAAGTCACTGATGAAAATTATTGCATAAGATTTCAAAACTCAAAAAGGATACTTAAATACATAACAGCTTACTGATATCTAAGAGAAAGGTAAAATAGGTCTTTAATGCTAATCAACAGTACAGAATGGGGGTGAAAACATTGTAAAATGCTTAGTTAAATTTTGTTTATTTGCTCATGTTCTGAATATCTTGTCCTTCACTGCAATGACATAATAAATTCAAATTTCAGTCTTAGTGGAAGGAGTCATGAGGTGCTGACGGGCGTGTGTTTGATGGTCCGCAAGGGGCAGGAATGGCAAGAGGTTGACTTCAGTGAGACAACCACTGTCAACTTTGCAACATTGTCACCTCAAGTTATCAATGCTTATATTGATACTAAAGAACCCATGTAAGTATATAAGGGTGTAAGGGTGTGAAGTTGAGTGTTGATCTGTGTTGGTATGTAGTTTGAGATATTTCTTATTTTCTTTTTATTCCCTAGCTCCATCCCTGCCTTTCTTTTTCTCTTACACACATGGATACATGCACACATGCATATCCCCCCCCCCCCCCTTTACACACACAAACACAAATTCACTTATTCACTTTTTCAGTCACTCACTCACAAATACACTCATTCACTCAACCAGTCTTTTGTTATCATGTATCTCTGCCATGCACCCACTCATTTATTCACACACTCATCTTTTCAGTTAATACCTCTCTACCTTTGTCTCTGTCTCTTCATTATGCCTTCTCTTTCCTTTCTACTTTAAAACATTAATACTTCTGCAGGGACAAGGCTGGTGGTTATGGCATCCAGGCTCTTGGAGGAATGCTAATAGAAGGAATACAAGGCGACTACTACAATGTAATGGGATTTCCTCTTCATAGATTTTGCCAGTCATTGGTTCCCGTGCTAGAAGAAATGTTTTCTTAGTGTGCTAGCATGAGTGAATGTTTCTTCTTTTAAGTTAATTTATACTGATAGTTGTAATAATTTAAAGAAATGTGTCCTATGTTTCTGATATTTTGTTTTAACCATTTCACTGATGTGCTCTGAAATCATCGGCCATATTCACAATCAATGCAAAGCCCTCCGCAATGGGAGTTTGCGAAGGTGATCGCATTGTTTTACCCACAGTCTATGCGATGCGACGGAGGTTGGTGTTGATTGGCTCTCAGAACCTGACTTTGCAAGAGTTAGGCTCTGAGAGCCAATGAGTGCTGACCTCTGTCACATCGCATTGACTGTGGGTACCCGTCACAGAGATCTTCGCATTGTTTGTGAATATGGCCGCATATGTATCTCCTGTGTGATATTTGGATTTTCTAAATAACATATTTAGCAGTTTGAAGATTCCTTCTTATAGTACATGTATACTGGACAATAAGGCAATAAATGTATTTTACTGTATTCCCTTGAAAAAAAGTATTTTTATTTGTAGTTAGTTGTATGCCTGGCAGCCACATTTCTTTCCAGTACGAATAATCTCCCTGACAAACAAGACCAGGTATTAATTCCTAATCATCAGCTTCTGTTGTAATATCACTGCCTTTTCTTAATACATGTTTTTCCAATATGTTTTCAATTTCAAAGAATATAATGATGGAGTTTCGTACAACAAGGGCTTTGTCCATGCACAGCCATCCAGTGACTATTCTAGGTTTTATAAAGGAATTACGCAACAGATGTCAAATGTAGTCTGTATCACTGGGGGGAGGGGGGGATGTGTGGACATTGAACAGTGTCCGCATCTGTGAAAGGGTTAATGCAATATTTCATGTAACTGAGGAATAAATATCCTTAGGTCAGTCAGTCAAGTATTTTTTATATTGAATAGAAGAACAAGTTGAATTTGTGATATATATAAGATTAAGATAAGTTTTAGTTTTAAGAAAAGTTTTCCTTTGTCAGATTTATTGTTTTTTATTTCTTGTAAAGAATGTATTATGTGCAGGGATATTTAAGTGATAAATTAAACATGAATAAAGCATTTCAGTGTTTCCTTGTGATTTTTTTCCCTTTCTGTAACCATACTTTTGCTAAAGCAGTTATGTATTGCCTAAATCTGTGGAGCCGGAAAGGAGAACACAGATTAGTATGTGATAATTTGCTAGAAATTGACAAACTGAATTAAAATCGGTAATGAACTTCTAATTTATACCCAAATTCCTCCACTAAAAATGTGATCAAGATCTTCAGAGGACATGTGACCTTATGCTCTGAATTTATAACTTTATGTCCCTAAAGGAATTATTAATGGAAATAATAGCACCCATAGAGCAGCATGTATCATCCCATTATTATGAGTTATCTTTTTGGGTGTTTAAGCATAGAAGTTCACTTATCTTATAATAATTAATGAGAAATTTTGATTTACTCCTTATTGTAATATTGTTTTGCTGTTTGGAGGGTTTGTATAATTGCATCAGCATAAAATGTAAACATACACCTTGTGTGGATACTGAAACACTCCCTAATTCTCTCCACCAATCCTCAATCTATGTCAAAAGAGAGTGTAAAACTGTGAATCGTTATCATGACCTTGGGCCTCTTGTGGCATGGCCTTGTTACCTCTATAACAGCCATTATTTTCATTCCTCCTTTACCATTATTGTCTTGTTAAGGAGGAAACTAGTTTTCATTAAGATTAGACTTTGTTAGAAGTATATCTGCCTATGAGAGTTATATTGTACCCTTTGGTCTACTGTCAAATGGTTAATGTAAATGCATGCTTGTCCCAGATACAAAGTCTTGAGAAAAATCTTTAAAAAATGGAATATTGTGCAGCATATCACACTTCAATCTTTTTGAAGTTTATTGCATATGGAGGCATTGTAGACTTTATATTATATTTATCAAGTGATTTTTTTTATGTTGTGCATCATTGTGCTGCTTTACATGGTAGGTGTGGCACAAAAAGTACTTTAATAGTATTGGTATTTACTTTTTTATGTTTTCCATTTTCAGCTTTGCAGCAGATAAAATATGGTATTCCGCCAATGCTCTAATCAGTTTGAGGCTAGCAACTTAGAATGCCATGTCTTATAAAAAGTCTTTTACCCTCATGCATCTTGACCTCAAATTGCACATCACATAACCTACATCTCTTCACCCAATCAAGTGTCATAAAACACTGACATGTTTAGAAAGCAGGATCTCTCCTAGGTAGCATGTACTGCATAATGCATAAGCATGTAGTCAGTTACTGCAAACAAGCAGCAGCCTAGGTATTCACATGTTCTTTACTCATTAATACTCACTAATCATTCCACTCTCAAGGCTTATTGCTTTGTAGCGTATATAAAGATATATTTCTCTCTCAAATAAAAATGTGTCAAATGTATTTAATCCATCACTGGATCACAAGTCTTTCTGCTATGCTTGATGGTAGAAACCACATGAAGAAATAACAAACTTTACCTGGAGTTCAGGTACCATAATACTGAGCACCTTTACAATAGAAATGTAAATATTAAACAAATCCATAGCACCCAGGCAGCAAGTTTTAATGTATTTTATAATGGTCTATGTATACATCAAGTAAGAGAATAGGAGAGCTTCATAAAACAGGTTGGTTATATTCCACTGTTTATAAAAAGAGGAAAAAAAAAAAAAAAAAAAAAAAAAAAGTAATTCAGAGAAAAAAGAAATTCATAAAAAAAGTAATTCATTCAGAGAGAGAGAAAAAAAAAAAATCACACACACACACAAAAAAAAAAAAAAAAATCAATGTAATTTTACGTGTTGCCGAAATTATTATTTTTTCTTTTATGACCTTGCAGTAATCAAAAGTAAACTAATTAATATAAATATTAAGAAAGGGGAGAAACAGTCACATTCAAGAAGAATCATTTAATATCATGTGAGACAAATGTTCAAACTAGCTTTTCATTGCATTTTGGAACATTTGTAAGATGATATGAGAAAGTACATGATGAGGATGGATGTGTGTATAATATATATATATATATATATATATATATATAATATATATATATATATATATATATATATATATAGATATATACTATATATATTAATGTATAATATATATATATACACTGTATAGTATATAGGTAATATATAGTATATATAGGGTATAATACATATATATATAGTTATATATATACGTATATATATACGATAATATAGTAATACAGCGAAAATTACTACAGGCAGCGCAAAATTACCTAGCGTATATATATAGCTATATAACATATACACGCACGAATAGTCGTAAGTACATACTTAGACGCTAGTATATACAGTAGAGCCTGACTAATATATATACCGGTATAAGGCCAGTGATATATAACACTGATAAGGCTCATAATAAGCGAATATTACCATGATCAGACAGATAAACGTTAGTGTACGCGTATGATTAGTGATAGTGCGACGAAGTAAGCCAGAGATAACATAACTCAAGGCTGCTACTAGTATAATAACTAAATATATAACATGAGTAGTATACGCCATACAAAATGAGCTACTCACTAAAGACAAAGCGGAGTAATAAATATAATAACACGACGATACATATCTCATAAACGAATGATATATAAGATATAATTCTGTCTAAGAAATATTGTAACCTCTAAGAGAAGAGTAAATCGTAAACGCATCTACAAAGGGCAAAATAGATAAATAGAAAATAAATAAAAGAAAGATAAAGAATATATTCCTCATAGAGTAGATAATAGAAGTAACAGAAGAATAAGAGAAAAAAGAAAGAAAGAAGGAAAATTAAGTAATAATAATACAATATAAAATAAGATATAGTATACAGCAGAAGGATATTAATATCATAGATAATAATAATATAGAGAGATAGATAAATATATGTATATATAGATATTAATATGAATATGATAAAACAGACTAAATATATAGTGATAAGAAATATAATAACTATAGTATATTAATAATATATATAATAAATAAAAGATAATAATATTAATATAAATACGTAAATAATATACGTGATACTCAGTCGTATATATATATACTGACTATGAGGTGTAGTACGGCAACAAGGGCGTATATGAGTATATATATAACGGCAGCTCCTCTCATATATATGATCTCTAGAAGCAGAGGAGCGTACTTACTACTTAGAAGAATACTAATCACTATATAATATAATATCAGTGAGTATAAGCAAGAATATAGACAACTATATAATATAGCAACCAGTATATAAAATATACGAATATAGTATTTAGCGGTAAGTGTGTGTGAGTGAGTGAGTGAGTTCAACAAAGAGTGTGATGAGTATGGTAGTATATAAAGATAGTATAGTGATGAGTACTGGACTACGCGCTAAAATTATAAGGTGTATACATACTCACTATATTACGATAGAACTAGTAAAGATAAGCCGCAATAAGACCACTGAATAGTAGTATAGTATAATATAGGGTATCATATATATCAATTGACTCACTCCTATTGATAATATTTAAGTACTCACTTCACTCCATATATACTCACGCGTAATTATATTACGTCGTATCATAATAGAACTCGAATACAGATAAATGTACTAGTCACCGTATATACCTACTATACCCTAATAATATACACTATACTCACTAGTATATAACACTATCAATAATATAATACTTCATCGCGTATACTACCGGATATAGACATATATTATAAATAATAATTATATATATATATATTAATATATATAAATATATATATATAATATATATATAATAACACCATAGCATACTGATATATATAATAATATATATTACATAATACATATAATATATATATATATTATAAATATATTATAATGATATATATAAACCTATTCATATATATTAGTATATATATATACAATAAAATATAATAATCAATATATATAATACTATATTATATATATATATATATATATATATATATAATAATAATATAATATATAACAATATACATATACATATATACATATATACACACACACAACACACACACACACACACACACACACACACACACACACACACACACACACACACACACATACACACACACACACACACACACACACACACACACACACACACACACACACACACACACACACACACACACACACACACACACACACACACACAACACAGTGTGTATGTATGTATGTATTTATGTATGTATGTGTATATATATATATATATATATATATATATATATATATATATATATATATATATATATATTATATATATATATATATATATATATATATATATATATATATATATATATATGCAGACACATATATAATATTGAGAACATCTCTGCTTATTATGAAATATTATTGAAATCAGTGTTAGTAAATGGGAAAAATGAAACATTTCACTCTAATAAAGTTGCATAATGACTGATATATTAAATCTTTGACTTTTCTTTGAACTGAGCTACCTGAATATGAACAGAGTGATGGAACTTGTGAAAATGCAATATCTACAGGTCATTCCATCCCCTGGAAGAAAATAAACAGTCCTGAACAACACAATGATTGCATTCTGAATAATGTTGAAATAGTAATACTAAAATAGGAACTAGTACACTGCCTGTCTACACTTAACAAGAAAAGATATGCCATGAAAGTATTGCTATTAAATCTGTAAATGGTACGATTTAGCTTATAAATACACCAACATTGTTAATAATTAAAGAGATTTATCCATTTCATAAGCACATTTCTGAGCAAGAATGCCTTAATACAAAGACTGTTAGTCGAACATCAGTTATACCAATCATTTTCTGTGTCAGAAATTTGTACTAATGTAGGAGGACAGGTATCTTATGTTTGTATGATTAAGCCAAAATGCCATGTTATGGCTAATTCATCATTAATCCTAGCAAATCAGCTGCAACTTACAAAAAGTAGAAAGATTATCCTTGAACTCAATGATTGAGTAAGACAAGAGAAAGAAATTAATGGAGACTGGTATAATATGCTGTATGCACCTCTCATGCCTAAAATTCAGGCCCAATGCTTCAGTCAGTACAATTGATAATACATACAGAGAACTAAACATAAACCTGAAACAAATAAAAAATTTGTTTGTGTTTCCAATATACATTTGGAAAAAACATAACAAAAAACAATAAGGCCTTTCATATATATAGACAAACTTAATATGCCTAAATACAAAATAAGGAAAATGTTTAAATGATATATTTCTTAATTCAACACTATACCATACTTATAAGACAATTTAATGTGATGCTTAAAGTCATCTGAACATTTGATTGTCTATAACTGACTTGTGCTCCTTGCAGTGTTAAATATCACATGTATCACAGAGCCTCACTTCTCCATATTGTTATTTAGTACTTTAAGGAAGTCATCACAGTAAGAGACTATGTTAACCTTTTAAAGTTGTCATCACAGTAAATAACTCCGCTGAAGCCACTAATGTGTACTTTAGCATACTTTCTCTTAGTGGGCCTGTGACATAGTCATGGGCAGTGTTAAAGATCCTGGAATGCAGCCATAACAATATTTCAACAATATATGATAATAGGGATTGCTCTATTGAATCCAAACATGCATGGATACTAGTGAATCATGAATAACAGTAACAGACCTATACAATAAATTTGAAGCAAGTTATATACAGTATTTACATAAAGGTATCGGAGGTTTAGTATTCAACCTTTCGCATTCCTGTCCTTTTACTGGGAACTCATTCCAAAACAAACTATATCTAATGCTTTACTTACATCCAATCATTACTCCAGATTCTGTTAGTTTTGTAAAGACAATCATAATATTTCTCCTATCGTAAAAACACTGCATCACTGCATTTCACATTATTTTCCAAACCTACCTTGGTCTCTGAGACACTTATTAGGTGATTCTCAAAATGTTAAAAATGTGAATTAGTGATATGCTAATGGAATATAAACATGCTTTAAGTGAGCATAGATAGATGCAAATGTATTGCATGCATCCACAGTCTTTACCTGTCTGTCTATCTGACCACTTGTCTGTCTATCTATGTCTGTTAGTCTGTCTGTCTCTTTCTCTCTCATTCTCCATACCACTTTCTGATGTCCTTAGCTTCACTGCTACATGTCTTTATTTTTTATGCAAAAGAATGAAGTGAGTACTATGGAAGCATAATAGATATGATAATTTTTCTTTTTTCTGCTCATTATTCATACTCATCAAAAATAGCCTCTTCATATGTCTGGTTTTCTAAAAGTGCTGTTTATGTCAAAGTATATGGGCTTACATATTCTTCCCATTTGTTCATCCTAAACAGTTCTTCTTCTAGACCATTAAGGACTAAAATCAGAATTTAATAACATATTCCATGGAGTGTAATGAAGTATCTTTAAAGGAATTAATTAGCTAAAGTTAATATCTCAAACACTTTCAGGTTAAAGAGGACTAATATTCCCTTTCCCATCAAATGTAACAACATAAGCAAAAAATATAATGCTGTTGCAATCACTATATCTTAGTTGCTTTTCTATATCAATATCCAAAATCACTATAAGGTACTGATCATTTCCTTAGCTGTAATTTCTATACTCAAAATATAAACATTGATCAGTAAATTTTAATCAAATGGTCTACAGAAGTAATCCCTTAATTTAGTGAACCTTCTCAAACAGCCGACTGTGAGCAGTTGATAACAAAATAGGTCAGGTCTCCTCTGTCAGCTTTATTGTGCTATGTAATATAATTAGAACTGTATGCACAGACTGTAAATACAAACCTACACACATACATTCACACAGGCTCATTTCACTGTGAACTCACATATTTCTGCCTTGTTCTAAGGGTATCTTGCAAATACCGTGTTGATTATTCTCTATATAGTTATGTATAGTGATGACTGTTATCTGAAACTTTCAACTCTATATACTAGCTAGGACCATAAACATACCAATAATATTCATTCTAATGTGGCATTTTATTCAGTATTTGTATCCTAAATGAGAAGGCATCCAATATGAGAAGCAGGATACAACTATATCTTCAACTCTTTTTATATTGAATACTCATTACAAAATATTCTGTTAATTTGGGTATTCATCACAAAAACATATATGAAATGTAGGAAAAAAGTTGGATTTTTTTTTAGGACACCTTCCTCACCAAAGTTCACTAAATTGTGGGATTACTTTCATAAGATATATCTATAAATCTATATCTATGTATGTAGTTCTTCTCTCTACCTTTAACCTTTGTTCTACACCAAAAATCTATCCCTGATCCACTTTTGAGAAATGTGGGGGTCTAATACATACTGAACACTTGAGTTGCAGACCAATGTTGTTCCGACAGACCTTGAATAGCATGACCAAACTGTGAGTCACACACACAAGAGATGGAAGGATATTTCTCCTCTAAAGTGATGTGTTTTCTAACATGAGTCCTTAATTGTGGATCTTGCATCCATTATCATTATAAGATTTAAGGATAAGAATGTTAGAAGGGAATTATGCAGGGGGAATATAATAAAGACTGTTGGTCTAGTCTAGGCGAATCCTGTTGTTACAATTAGTAATACTGTAGTAAATGTTAAATATACTGGAAATAAAGTTTTGAATATGGTATGTATCTCTACTACCGTAAATATCTATTTGTTTCCTAGAGCACTAGATCTCTCACCTGTACGATTAGGTAACATAACCAGCTGGTACATTCAGTGTCACGAAATGCAGTGCGCTAAAATACAAATACAGCTCAGTACTGATGTCTCAGTATTGTCTTCATATATTACTGCATGCTTTAATATGGCCAATAAGTCCACTTCATAGACAAGGCTGATTACATGTGTTAAATGGTGTTAGACTAACTTTCAAGATACACATAGTTCATAATCTTCACTCATTTTAACCTGTCTTTGTTATTGTCATTTACAGTTTTGGTGAAAATAAAAGACAACGATAGTAGATATAAAATACTTCCCATTATATTCAATTAAGATGTAATGTAAATGCAAAATGGATTTTCAAAAGAGTTCCACAAAACCATGATGTATTCCCTTCTGGGTTTGGATTCTGCCTTCCTTAGAATTTGTGTAGTCCTTTCAGATATAAAAATATAATAAATATAAAAATACAATGTGTACATATATGTGTATATAAACAGTGTGTGTGTGTGTGTGTGTGTGCTTATGTATATACATATATGTGTCTGTATGTCTGTATGTATGCATGTATGTATGTATGCAAGTATGTATGTATGTATATATGTGTGTATATATGTATATATGTATGT